ACCCGAGATAGGGGGCATTGCAAATGCCAGCCTTAACGCCTTCCAGAAGGACCGAACCTGAGAGAGTTCATCACCATGGAAAATTGTATATTCTTTATATGTGATAGAGACTCCTGCCTTGCTCTTCCTGGTACTACAAACTGTTTAGACAATATCACAAATATGGATTGTCCTGAAAAATGTCTATCAAATCTGAAGAAATTCCCTATTAGACAGGTAGGGAAAATTTCAGAGTATGGCAAAATCTCTTTAGAAATAGAAGTGTTTACATATGTCCAGTGATTTGTACACTGCTGATAAACGGTAGTTGTGTTATGTAATGAGGTGTGAACTCACATTCAAATAGCAGAAAGATACAAGCAGAGGAGATCATATAAATGGATCGTAGCACCAGCAAATCTGATATATTTTGATAAAAAGAAACACACCCAAAGGTTCCCTCTATCCTAAAACAGTCACAACGCCATAGTGCTTTGGATTCTCTATTGAGTAAGATAACATCCCTCTTCAAAGAAAGATATGAAAAAATTTTCATCTGACTAAGTGATGTGCTGAGCAGGTTTAAGAGCCTCATCTAGTTTTAATGCAGCAAGAAACACAGCTTTACTTGAGAACTTAAACTATTTTACATTTCAGTAATGATTTTTCCAGACAATCAGGCAGTCTAGACATTCAGACCTTATTGCCTATGTTGTGAATGCAAACCAGCTTGTGACATAAGCTTGTGTTTAGCACATTCACATTCCTTTTCAGTAGCCATCAGGTGGCAAAGTTTAAAAATTTAAATTGTAGGGGTTAGTTTATAATCTTTGTACTTAAACCTCAATAATCTTTCATTAGTTTTTAGTGGATTTGGATGCATTACCTATGAACATGCATTCATAGCAAAATGTTCTGCCCCTTGAAGAGTTGACATAGAGGCCCAACTACTGATATGAAGCAACAAAACAGGCCATTTCAAATGTTGATTCTCTTTGTCATAGCCACAGGAGATATAGGAGCACAATTCTATGGATCGACTATACGAAGACTTGATTTTCACAAGGAAAAACCCTGTGGAAGGGAACCAGTCTTTGTTCCATAGTGAACATTCTTTTCCCGTAAGCATGAAAAGTAAAATGTAAACAGTTTTCTAAATGAGCTAATGCATTTGAACACAAGGCATGGCAGTCAGCCACACTAAAAATGGACATCACCAAAAACTGTAAAACAACCAAACCCAAAAACCACATCATATGAAGACATGACAGAAGAGCATGGTGAAAGAAATGGAATGCCTGTCACAGAGATGACTACTTCAACTTCTTGAAAATGTATCTTGTCAAGCAGTTCCACTCATTTGCTACAATACATATCTTTGGTTACATGACAAAGAACAGAACATAGCAAGCAGGAGGACATTGAATCCTCTCTCAATGTATTCATTGTATTGTTCTTCATTAGCACAAGTAGATGTAGTAAGAAGCACAAAGCCTCATGAAAAGAATCCACACGAAATTCCACAACATGCATATGTCAAGTCACCAAATTATACCCGCTGGGTAACATTGTCCTGACCATAATGGATTCAAATATTTCATTTGGAATTGTTTATTTTCTCTCTCTGGTTCTTTTGTACAAATGCCAGGGCGGATTCTTTTCTTCTATAACTCATAGAATGTTGCTTAAAAGTCCACATGCCCTGCTAGATGCACCAAGTTCTTGATCAAACTCACTGGCTGTGTCTAGACTGGCATTTGCTTTTGCGGAAAAACTTGCCAGCTGTCTACACTGGCCGTTTGAATTTGCGCAAGAACACTGACGATCTAATGTAAGATTGTCAGTATTCTTGTGCAAATACTATGCTGCTCCCATTGGGGAAAAAGCCCTCTTGTGCAAATGTATTTGTGCAAGAAGGCCAGTGTAGACAGCTAAAAACTATTTTGCGCAAAAAAGCCCCGATGGCAAAAATGGGGATCGGGGCTTTCTTGCGCAAAACCGCGGTTAGATTGGCACAGACGCTTTTCCGCAAAAAGTGCTTTTGCGCAAAAGCGTCCGTGCCAATCTAGATGCTCTTTTCCGCAAATGCTTTTAATGGAAAAACTTTTCCGTTAAAAGCATTTGCGGAAAATCATGCCAGTCTAGACACAGCCACTCAGTTCAGTTCTCTGGAAGAGGAAACAACCTCTGTGTCTGTCACTCCTAAAAAGTAGAAACTATCATTTGCATAAACTTTATTATAGTGTCCCAAAGACTCACAGAAAGGCCTCTGGGAAGCAAGAGGCAGAAAAAAGCAAACCAATCACAATGAAAACATATCTGGTCATTACCAAGAGGCCAGATTGTGAAGCCCTTTTTACACTGTAAGGACATTTACTTGTGAGTATTCCCACTGAAACCAATGCAACTGAGTAAATAAGTGTTCACTAGGGTACAGAAGGTCTCTATAATCTGCATGTAAATTAAAAATATATAGTTCTTCTGTATTAGATATGCTTTAAAATGTGTATATTGGAGTCTTAGGCTATAGAGTACATGCTTTTTGTGAGTGCACAAGTACTGTAATACTGAGTCTTTTTGTCCAGTTATGTTCTTGTGAAGTATTTACTTACTGTCCTCTAATCTGTATTCATATTTGTCTTAAATCAAAACACCAAAAAGATTATTTAACTTGGTTCCATAGTTATTCATCTTGTTTGCCAGTCAAATATTGAGGACCCTGTTCACTTTATATAATTTCTTAATAGTAAGGGTAACATGTTTGGCTGTTTTTAAACTGTGTCTGAAACTCAGTGGCTCTCCTCTTCAAGGAATCTTCATCATTTTAGGAGGTGATGAGAATTTTATATCAAGTACCAAAAGCAGCCTCCATCTGCCAAACTGCACACAGCACAACTGCTCTGTCAGGGTACACTGCATAGCTATTTCAAAATAAACTATTCTGGAATAGTTATTCCAAAATAGCTTATTCTGAAATAGCATGTCTACACTGCAGGGAAGCCTCAAAATTGATTGGAGGCAGGCTTCCCTAATGTGCTATATTGATTTAGAACCCCTGGAAGCGCTGGGCAGGAATAACTTAGAATGGTCCCGGGGAGGGGCTGTTTGGAAATAGCAAGAGTGGAGCACACCTAATTTCAAAATAGCTATTTCAGAATGGCTGTGTCTACACTGGCATGAATTTCCGGAAATACTTAAAACAGAATAGTTTCCGTTATAAGTATTTCCAGAAAAAGAGCGTCTACATTGGCAGGCTGCTTTTCCGGAAAAGCCCTTTTTCCGGAAAAGCATCTGTGGCCAATGTAGATGCGCTTTTCTGGAAAAGAGCCCCGATCGTCATTTTCGCGATCGGGGCTTTTTTCCGGAAAAGACTACTGGGCTGTTTACACTGGCCCTTTTCCAGAACAGTGTTCCGGAATAAGGACTTATGCCCAAGCGGGAGCAGCGTAGCTTTTCCGGAATAGCGGCTGATTTTGTACAGTAGAGCATCGTTGCTTTTCCGGAAATTCAAGGGCCAGTGTAGACAGCTCGCAGCTTATTCCGGAAAAGCGGCTGATTTTCCGGAATAAGTGGCCCAGTGTAGACACAGCCAATAAGTATTATTCCTCGTAGAATGAGGATTACAGATTTTGGAATAAGTTGTCCATTATTTCAAAATTATTTCAAAATAACGGAATGGCTGTGTAGGCGCTCTCATTTTTTTTTGAAATAACGTTAGTTATCTTAAAATAACAGTGCAGTGTACATGACTCTTGCAGTGGTGCAATATTTCAAATACAATAAAGAACATAGTCCTCCACCCTTACTTAAACTGGGTAGTGTTTGCATACACAATTAGCCTCACTGGGATTATTTGTGTGAGTACAACTCATTACCTGCAATGGTGCCCACAATGAAAACTGTGAGGAAAGCAGACAGTGCCAATTTACCTAAATAGTTAAAACCACTTAACAGGTTATATAACTTGCAAAGCATTGTAAATCCAATGTATAGTCCTACATCTGTACCATCCTGCGTAATTCTGGATTGATGGAGAGATGGTCTGGATAGACTGCTTTTCTTGTTAACACAGACTTCTGTGATCACGAAATCATAGAATCCTAGGGCTGGAAGAGACCTCAGAAGGTCATCGAGTCCAGCCCCCCTTCCCAAAGCAGGACCGACCCTAACTAAATCATCTCAGCCAGAACTTTGTCAAGCCAGGACTTAAAAACCTCTAGGGATGGAGATTCCACCACCTACTAGGTAACGAGTCCAGTGCTTCACCACCCTCCTAGTGAAATAGTTTTCTTTAATATCCAACCTGGACCTTCCCCACGGCAACTTGAGACCATTGCTCCTTGTTCTGACATCTGTCACCACTGAGAACAGCTTCTCTCCATCCTCTCCGGAACCTTCCTTCAGGAAGTTGAAGGCTGCTATCAAATTAAATGATTAAATAAGATAGTAAAACTGAGCAATATTTCATCAGAGCAATGAATCCAAAACCGATTAAATAAAAACTTCTCCCTTCCCTCTCTATTATTTGCTTATTCATTGCATTGTTCCTACAATTTGATTCTTGTGGATGAGGTCTGATGAGACATTAATTACAGCACCAAGTTTTGTGCTTACACTATTCCAAAGACACGGTTAGGGTTGCAGCAGCAAGCAGTTTACAACTTTGGATGTGATTCTGTCACTTTGTTTACTCATACTGAGTAGGCCTACTGATTGGGTGAGTAAGGATGGCAGATCGTGGCCTGTAGAAAATATTTTGGGGGATTCTTTGTTCCAAAGAAATGACACTGGAGAATTAATTTTTATCATAACAATTACAAAATGAGGATTTCAGTGATCTGAAAAAGGGAGATGTTAGAACAAAGACTTCCAATGACAAAAGCAATCTTGTGTTTCTTACCAGTAATTTTTTCCAGAGTAATTTATTTGGAAACATTGACTGTGACTGCGTGGGTACAGCAGACAGCTAATACTAATGAAGGGTATTTAGCATTAATGTGCAGAACTCTCTTTAAAAACAGGTGCTTCTTCTGTCATGGCAGCTTCTGGATCTCTGAAAGTACAGAAAGGACACTCTCTGCAAGCTGGTAGGTGTAACAGGTTACGTTGTGTGTATGTGTATATGTAAAAGTGTGCCACTTTGCCCTTAAAACAAAAGAGTTTTAAAAGTGATATTTAACAGTGATATTTCCTGATGCAGTCTGTGCTATGGTTTATTTTTCTATTCAATTTGCAGATGAATTAATATTTTGTTAGACACAGCATTGACAGGTGGAATAAGTTTAGAAAAGGCAGTGACAGGTGGGATGTGTGCCAAGGCACAGGCATTAATCCTCTTCGTATCAGTGAAAGGCTGCCAATATTTTAACAAGGGGCTCCCACAAACAATTTCCACCTTAACCTGTCATAAATCCTATATACTGGAAGTGATGGCCATTTAAAGTATATGTCCCTATAACAATGAAGGAGCGAGGAGACTAACCAAGGCAAACAAGCACAGTAAGCTGCAAATATCTGTAGCTGAAAATGCAATGCAAGTACATTGATAGCATAGGATAGCCTTCTGATTGCAACACAGCACACGTATTTCCAAAACATTCCCTGGGGAGAAAACCCTCAGCTCCATCTACAGAGTCTTCACACCCCATTCCAATCAAAATAATGCAATGTGGTCCATTCCAAACAATGACAAATTTCCTGTTGTGAAGCAGAATCATTTCCGGGAGGGATGGTTTCAGCGATTTCTGTATTTAGTTCTTCAATTGGTTTTTTTTTTAGCGTTGTTATTTAGATTATGTGTCTAGAAATCAAAAGAAAGCGGTTGTAGGCTTTATTATCACCATCCAATTTACTAGCTACCATGGGGCCAAATATGTTGGGAATTTTTCAATGCTCTAGGTCCTAAAGGTGGTTTTGGGTTGATGGCACCGCCAGCTGAACTTGGAACTTCTACTGGCCCAGAAGAACCTGGTGAGTAAACAGCACTGCAACCAACTACATCAAAAGGCAGTAAATTCTGTACTTTCCAGAAGAATTATTCTGTTTACCTACCCATCTTCTTTGAGGAGGGTGGCTACTTGGTTTCATGAAAGAGATTGATTGATTGTTTCCCACATTTATTCTAAATTAAGTGCAGTGGTTAGTTATACCCACTTGTTTTCCCTAACCTCCCACCATAGCATATATGTGAGCAGTTCCATATATGTGTCCCCAATCCATCAGGTCCACGGTTCCATACATGAATTCTTTATGGTGAAGACCCTTGCATTTGTTTTCTGCTGAGTATTTATGTATAGAACGTTTGAGGGAAATATTTGCTTGCATTAAATGGATTATTAATAATTGTGAATGACAGCATGAATTGTATGTTCATTTTTTTAGGAGGAGCAGTAGGCTATTCAACAGATCTACCTGTAGCTGATCGACCCCACAGCGAGACAACAACCTATGTTAATATTCCTGTCAGTCCTACATCAAAGAAGCAGCTCCACTACATGGAATTAGAGCTTCAAGAACCTAGCACAGGCATAAGAGGTAGAGATCTTTACGTATGCCATTACTACAACTAAACAATGTTAAATGTAAACTGTGTGCATGCAGAGGGAAGTCCTGTGCTCCCGGCCGCCAGCTGCTTGTGCTGGGACTTGCCCACGATTGTCCACATTTAGAAATACTGTATTAGGGACAACTATTCAGCTAAGAAGAGTCTCTGGAGTCTATTCTGTCCCCAGCTCAAGCAGGATTGTGCTCGCCTTTTATTAGCCCTCTGGTCGTTAGGTCAATGCCTCTCCATTGCAAATATGTGGAAATTGGGTCCCATTGCCCCAGAGCCACAAAGGATATTTAAAAGAGCTCTAGAGGTGATCCTGGCAATTACAGACCTGTAAGTCTAACATCAGTACTGGGCAAATTAGTTGAAAGTATAGTAAATAATAGAATTGCCAGACTCATCGATGAACATAATTTGTTGGGGTGTGTGTGTGTCAACATGGTTTGTATAAAGGAAAATCATGCCTTATTAATCTACTAGAGTTCTTTGAGGGGGTCAACAGACATGTGGACAAGGGGGATCCAGTGGATACAGTATACTTAGATTTTACAGTATACCAGAAAGCTTTTGACAAGGTCCCTCATCAAAGGCTCTTAAATAAAGTCAGATGGCACAAGATAAGAGAGAAGGTCCTCTCATGGATTGATAACTGGTTGAAAGACAGGAAACAAAGGGTAGGAATAAATTGTAAGTTTTCAGAATGGAGAGAGGTAACTAGTGGTGTCCTCCAAGGGTCCATATTAGGACCAATCCTTTCAACCAATTTATAAATGATTTGGAGGAAGGGGTAAACAGTGAGGTGGCAAAATTTGCAGATGATACTAAACTGTTCGACATAGTTAAGATCAAACTATACATATAAAATTATGGGAATTAATTTTGCTATTATCACTCAAGAGAGAGATCTTGCAGTCACTATGGATAGTTTTCAGAAAACATCCACTCAATGTGCAGCCACAGTCAAAAAAGCAAACAGAATGTTAGTAATTATTAAGAATGGGATAGAGAATAAAACAGACAATCTCTTACTGCCTCTATAAATTCATTGTACGCCCACAACTTGAATACTGCATACAGATGTGGTCACCTCATCTAAAAAAAGATATCTTGGCATTGGAAAAGGTTCAGGAAAGGGCATCAGAAATGATTAAGGGTTTGGAACAGGTGCCATATGAAGAGATATTAAAAAAAAATCAAACTTTTCATCTTTGAAAAGAGGAGACTAAGGGGGGATAGATAGAGATCTAAAAAATGACTGGTGTGGAAAAAGTGAATAAGGAAAAGACTTGTCCCTATAACATAAGAACTGAGGGGTCAGCAATGAAGTTAATAGGTGATTGGTTTAAAACAAACAAAAGGAAGCTTTTCTTCATGCAGTGCACAGTCAACCTGTGGAACTCCTTGCCAGAGGATGTTGTGAAGACCAGGGCTTTAACAGGGTTCAAAAAAGAACTAGATAAATCCATGGAGGTTAAGTCCATTAATACTTATTAGCCAGAATGGATAGGAATGGTGTCCCTAGCCTCTATTTGTTAGAGGCTGGAAATGGGTGACAGGAGAGGGATCACTTGGTGATTACTTGTTCTGTTCACTTCACCTGGGGCATCTAGCATTAGCCACTGTTGAACGACAGGCTACTGGGCTAGAAGGACCTTTAGTTTGATCCAGTATGGCTGTTCTTATGGTATTAAACACCATTGATTTAAATGGTAGTTAAAAGCCTAAATACCTTTGTGGATCTGCGCCTGAGAGCCTATGGCCACATTTTTCAAATGTAGGTAAATAAAATTAACTAACTAAACCCATATGTAGGCACCTAAGTAGAAGGAGCCTTATTTCCAGATGCACTGAGCACCGGCAGCTCTGTAGGGCTGCAGAGTATTATCACCTTTGGACTTGGGTGTCTCTGGCAGGGCAAAAACCCACACCCACGAAATTTATAAATCATAAAAAAAGTAACCCTACCAGGACTCCCGCCTCAGTGTGCCTAACCAGGAAGCACAGAGCATTGACTCTCCTTTGTCTAGAAACGGGTGTTTATGCTTCTTAGAGATGCAAGCCACCCAAAAGCCCTACTAACCTTTTGGACCTACCTGAGTATGGGCTGCTCCAGTATCTACCTGGCATAATTTAGGTGGTTCAGGGCCCAGTACCCCCTTCTTCTGGCATACACAGAGATCCTGGATGCTGCAGTAATGTTGGTAGAGTCTCCCAGAGCAGTGGGCAGTGTTCCCTGTAAACTGAGTGATTCAAATGCTGCCCAGTTGATTAGCAGAGCAGCCCCAGCTGGCAGCATGTGTTTCTATTGTGGTGCACATCTGCACATGCCTTGGGTGCACATAACTAAATTTATTCTGCACATGGATGGAAGAAATTAGTGGGAACATGTTAGTGGGTCTTGGCATTAGGGTGCTGTTAAAGATGAATGTGACTTCACCCCTTTCAGAGGTAATGTTTCAAGTTGTTTGCAGACTCAGGTAGATGCTATTTCTTTGCCTGATTCATTGTTTCAAGGTTTAGAGACTTGTCTTTTGAAAGTAAACTAAAGCTAAGAACTTGAGTTAATTACATGACTCCAGTAACTGGGGCCCTAGGCATGGCTCTATGGATCTTGGACAAGATGCTGAGTCTCTGGCATGATTCATCAGACAAATAGCCCATCTAGCACAGTATTCTCTCTTCTGATAGTGGCCAGAGCTGGATGCATCAGAGGGAATGAACAGAAAGGGCAATTTATCAGGTGATCCATCCCCTGTCATCCTGTCTCTGCATCTGACAATCAGATCTTTAGGGACATTCAGAACATGGGGCTGCCATTTGGGGTTGGAGAAATGAGGCCAAGGGATCTAGATCTATAAAAGGGCATAGACCCACATCCTCAAAGGTATCTAACTCTCATGGAAATCAATGGGAGTTAGGCACCTTTTGGGATCTGGCTTAGCTCCCCTACCACACAATGGATTCCAGCCCTGAGTTATGTGCCCAGGCTCCTTTTACAATCAATGGTGAGAGTTCAGTCCCTAAGAATGCGATTGTCAGAAGGCACCACTGTGAGTGGGGAGCCACCTATAGTAGCCAGTCAGAAATGCTGAGGAGAGGGGCATTGCTTAAGCCATATTCCAAAAAGATAGTTAAGAACCTAACTCCGGGCCAGAGAGACTTGCCCATCTCCACTTGGAATTCACAATGATGAGTCCCCTCCTGAAGTGAGGTGCCTAATGCCAGACCCCACCTTTTCTTGGAAATAAACAAAGGACTCTCCCCTTGCACCCAATTGCTAGACACTCACCTGGGATGACTGGAATTTGAATCTCTCCTGGATGGCCTCTGTAGTACTCAGCTTACAGGTAACTCCGGTGAGAAACCTACTTAGGCCAAGATTGTCACTGGTTGAAATTATGATTTAGCCACTAGAAAGCATGCTTTGTTCTACTTGTTACCTTACCTGTGTCTTCGATATTTACGTATCATCACTGACATGTCTGTTCTTTAGAAATAAATTGATTCCTGTTGTGTTAGAAAACCACTTCAGTGCTGTGTGTTAAACTGAAGAATAAAGTCCTGAGCTAAACTAACAGGCTGGTGAGGGCTCTGCCTCTTTGGAGGCAGTGAATCTTCTAACTTCTGTGTCTAGTGGGAGGGCTGGACACTGCAGGGAGGGAAAGGTTGTTGGTATTGCCCTGTATGGAGTAACAAGGCTGGTGGGAGCCAGGGTGAGACCTCTGTGCTGTGAGTGGGTGTCAAAGCTGTGAGCCAAAGCTGAACAGCATGGGGCTCCCATGGTGACAGGACAGGCAGTGACAAAACTCCTTACTGATCTGGGTGAAGCTGCAAAGTGTCCCAGTCCCTCTCTTCTTCCTGCCATTTCACTTCTGGCTAGCTAAGGGGGCTCCTTGCTCAGCCTGTTGGCCTCTAAAAAATTCCCTTTCCTAGGGGCTCACTTAGCTGTCTTCATGCACAGGGGTCAGCTAAAGAGGTCAGCCATGCACATGGGTCAGCTGTCTCCATGCACACGGAGTCCAAGTGACATGGGGCCACCCATTTTAGGACTGAAAATTCCACTAGGTGGCAGATTACCTGGGGTGAGACATTGCTCCTCTCCATCAAGCAACACTTAAATCCTTTAAAAAAATCTGTCTCTAAGGGCGTGTTAATTGCACCGTTAATTCGAGATAACTAGCGGTATTTTGAAATAACAATGCGTCTACACAGCCATTCCATTAGTTTGAAATAATTTAGAAATAATAGACAGCTTATTCCGAAATCTGTAAGCTTCATTCTAAGAGGAATAACACCTATTCCAAAATAGCTATTTTGAAATAGCCCTTCCAGGGCCATTCTAAGTTATTCCTGCCCAGTGCCTGCTGGGACTCTAAATCGAGATAGCATGTCTACATTAGGGAAGCCTGTCTCAGACTAATTTTGAGTCTTCCCTATAGTATAGACGTGCTATTTTGGAATAAGCTATTTCGGAATAACTATTCCGGAACATCTTATTTCAAAATAGCTGGGCAGTGTAGATGTACTCTAAGTAACGTACCCAATATTACAAAGGAAGTGTGTAGGGGAACAGAAATTGAACCCAGGCCTACCACAGCCCAGGCTAGTATAATAAGCACTGGACAAGCTTTCCGCAAAAGGGCAGGATAGTAATCAATAGTACAGTTGTATTTGGGTTTTTTTTTCAGGGGGTGAATCAACCAGATATGCACAGATTGACATTGCAGCCACAGAGACAGCTCACAAAGTGGGCACTCAGCATGCTCAATGCCGAGAGGATCGCTTGCAGGAATTGGAACAGAAGAAGAAGGGAGCCCAGGAATGATCTGCCTGGAAAAGAACTTTTTGCGCACTCTAACTTGGTACTAATTTAAATTTCAAATGATTCACATATTTAGTATTTAAAATACACTTGTATAAAAGCTGCCTTTCTTGATCATATTTATACCAGACTCATTCCAACATTCTAATTCCTAATTGGAAAACTGGTAGCATGGTGTTGTTTTAAGCTTTGTAACGTCCAGAAGTGCTCTTCCTTTTCCACATACAGTATATGTAAGTTACTGTTTTCTTTTTCTATAAATCCTGGAAGAACCTGGTGCCAAATCTCAATGATTACTGATCAGAGGCATTGTATTTAAAGAATTCTTAATTTGTGCAAATAAGCGTGTGTGTTTATGGGTATTATATATGTACATAAAAACCACAAAAACATATTCAGATACTATTGAAGATCTTACTTAAATACAAAAGAAAAAAATTCAGTGTTTTAAAAACCATATTCTACTGCTATAATTTTGTCCAAATACAGGCTCACTTATGTACTTGCCTAATTTTACATAGCTGTGTAGTTCTGTTAAATTAACTCCTGTGCATCAATTAACTGTTTGCATTGTCAGGGCCATATTTATGACTGCGTAGTTGTGCCTGCAGATCAGAGAACCAAGGCCAACATTTCCAAAGTTTCAGCTTTATTTTCAGAGGCATTGAGGACCTGAATGACTTTTCCAATGACTTTGATTAGAGTTGTGGGTGCTTAGCATCTTAAAAAGTTGGCTTCTAGTTTCTCGAGTTGAGCCATCCAAAAATCAAGGTACCCCAAATTAATAATCACTTTTGAAAAAGCGGATCTGCATTTGTATCTTCAAAACAGTGTAAAAAATGGAAGCCAAAATCAGTCCATCAGAGTTAACACTAAAACTGCCATTTACTCATTCCATGCTATGCCTAAAGATTGCAGAACCAGTGCTATGTAAGAGCCCACTGTCTTCTGAGACCCTGCATTGCATAGGCACAAGGACCTATACTGTACTTTCCTGCATCAATTTGTAAGTCCACATAACTTTTTGTATTTTGTGGTTTTGTCCCTAAGACAAAATGCAATTAAAAAGAAAAAAAAAGTCTATTCCAGTTATTCTACAGTTACAAACCAGTGTTATTTCAGTTTTGAGCTTTTAAGGATTATCAGAAGCAAGTTAATCCAACAAATACTTTTAGTATTGAAAATAATTTGACTATATCATTTTAAGCCAGAATTTTAAGAATAAGTGCTGCTTGTAGATCCAGGCAGTAACTAACATAATGAATGAAATTTTCAGATTGAAATGAATTTTACCCACTGGTTTCAATCCCTTGTGTCTATTTGAAGGCAGAATTTGGTCTGTATGGTTATTTGAATGTAGTCTTAAGAGCATTTCTTTATTTTTTTAAATTGAACAATTAGCATTAAAAATACACCAGCCCTCTTAAGTAAAAACATATGCATAGGAGAGCTGACAGTAACTATCATCTTTTATTTAGAGTGATAGAATCAAATGGCTGGATATATATATTTATACCAGTATGCTAGTTACTATAGTATCTCTTTAGGGACAATGAAGAGTCCAGTGGCATCTCAAAGATTAACAGATTTATTTGGGCATAAGCTTTTGTGGGTAAAAACCACTTTGTCAGATACATACTTTAGGGATTTTTTTGGCAAAATGGACAGGTGTCATTTATTTTGTAAACCTATATTGAAAAGAACTATGATATCCTGGATACTTATTGCTTTTTGGGACCTGTTTCAGTTATGACCCAATCCTATAAACACTGCATGCATAGGACTGTCAGTGGACTTGATCAGAGTTTTCTATAGAGAGGGCTTGCAGGATTGAGCCCTTTGTTATGTAAATATTTGTATGTTATGTTTAAAATGCATATTATTTACGTGATTTACTTAAATGTTTTCTTATATTTTACTGCAGCACTTGGTAGTTAGTCATTCTTTTAGGGAAAGGTGGCTTTTTGACACAGAGCTGGTATTAAATACTTGTAATAATTACTAGTGTCATGAAGGCCCATGTTTGGACTTAAGAAGATTGTATTTCCCTGTTTTAATACGATAGTAGCAGTCATGGCAATGTGGAGCTTCTGTCATGATATACAAAGCTGGTTTTTACACATTGCAACATTACCTTCATATGTGGGAATGCTGTGTGACAACAGCACAAGGCAATGCTATCATGTACTGCTTCAAAGTCATCTCTTAAGCCCTGATTCTGCACTGGGATCTGCTAGTGCAGAATGCTGCATTCACACCAGTTTTGCATTAGTGAATCCTGATGCAGGATTGGGATTGTAATCATTGCACTATCACGACTCAGCAGGAGGCTTTCTGCAGCAGACAATTTGAAAGGGAAGTAAGGAAATATCGCTATGCTTAGGACACAATTCATCACTCTCATTTTGGCTATACTGACCCAGCCAGGGATGAATGACTCTCATCACCAGAAAAATTTAAAAAACAACAATGATTTTGTAGCACCTTAGAGACTAACAGAAAATATATATAAATAGTATCATGAGCTTTTAATCTCCTTATTGAGGATTCCAATAGCACCCTATAGGGCTGCATGAAAACTGAAATACATTTTAAACATTTTATTTACCTTTCAATATTAATGCTCTGTTTCCTTTTAGCCTTTCACATAGCTTGGACAAGTGAAAATAGGTAGTCTCCTTTCATTTTGTATATATCCTATCTGATTTTGGTGTGATAATCTCATTCATGAACATAATGGTGTACAGTTTGGCATGGGGGTGCATACAGGGCAGTATGTTTCAGTAAACATACCGAAAAGAAAAATCTGTTCCTTCTCGAATATACATAAATCACAGAAACATTTCTATTGACCCTTCTTTTGCTAAAAGTTTGTTTTTAACCAAACATATTTTGGGCTGAAATTTGACCTGTCTGTTGTCCCTTTAATATGTTTATATGGACTTTCCTGTATTGAGGAATTTTGTATTGGAATGAGCAGTCACTGTTCAGATTTCAGTGTCTTGGCTATGTTCAAGAAGTGGGAGGGGGGGGTTGTTATTACACAATCTTGCTTTAAGAAGTGAAGGTTTCCTGAGCTACTGCATTAGAGCATACAAACATGGGAAGCATCTACCTTTTTAGACATCTTTAATGCTAGGTCTCGCTCTCTCTGTCTGTCTCTCTCACACACACCCCTTAACCGAAAGAGGGGAAAAGAGAAGAGAGAAATCAAGACTGACATTTGTGATTAAATTCAGAGCTGTGGCCAAAATACTAAAAACTAATAAAACCCCTTTTAGATGCATTTGGCATAATATTTTGTCCTGAGAGAAATTTTGGCCCTGATACATACATACTCCTACTTTCCAGGGAGCAAAACAACACTATTTCAGCTGATCCTTGAAAGCTAATGTTACAATCGTTACAATCGCTCCTATAACAACACATGTCCAAAGAGGAAATGTCTGGAGCAGATTAAGTAGTCTAGCCAATATTTGATCCATCTCTAGTATAGGAATTTATCACACAAAGTTGTGTGTACTATCTGTAATATCGCTGTAATATTGCTTTGATTTTGATAGGTTTGATAGGTTTGAATGTATCCTACCTGTGTATCCTACCTGTGTAAAACTAACTACTTCAGTGGATTTTACAGCATTGTTTTAAAGCAGGTATGTGGCATTCTTTTGTTGTATCTGACCCCTCAGGTGAGCGAAGGAATTTCGTTAAGCTAGCCCCAGGGCCATACACTATGGTTTAAGATTTGTAAAGTTATTTAGGTGCCTTAAAATGCTAATGGACACCTACTTGACTTTTCTAATGAATGTAGGTACCTAACTTGCTTAGATGGGTTTGAAAACGCCACTAGTGTCTATCTGCATCTTTAGGCACCTAAATACCTTTGACAGTCTGGACCTGGGAGTCTTCCTCAGCAAATAGCTTAGACAAGTGCTTATATTTTTTCTCTGTAAGGCTTAATTAATATAGTTTGATGGTCTGTACTTTTGTTGAATTATCCTTGATTTAGCTTGTTCTGTCAGGCCATGAAACGCATACAATACAGGAAAATAAGAAGTTTATTGGTCCATGGAAGTCCTCTTTACCCTTCATTTAAATGTCCATAGCAGGAGATGAATTCCAGCTAACACCATAATCTTCCATTTATTCAGCATCTTTCACTGAGAAAGATCACTAGTTGCTATACAACCTGGTGCCTAAGCAGGTCATTTCACACACAGTCAAAATGCAGTCAGGGTGGATTGCAACACAACATCATTTTAACCTCACCCAGCAACACTACACAACAGATTAGGGGAAGAAGCAAGGAAGAATGCCATACTGAAGTGAAGTTGTAGTTAAATAGTCAGAATATGACATTGTAGTCAAATGTCAGCTCAGGTAATTGGGTTAACAAAAAACACCATGTGCTCTTTAATGACACGTGTTGATAACCTCAGTAATGCATTTCTTCTGATAGATGGAGTTTTGGCAGTATCAATCCTTTACGTTTTCGGGGCATATGTGTTCAGAATGTCAGAGATAACTGAAACCACCTTTTATGGACTTTGTTTGAATGGACAGAGCATGTCTCACAGGAAACATAGCTAATGTACATTATGAATTGTAATACAATATACCTTTTATTAAAGCTGTGTGAAATCTTAGAAAATCCTAGCTGCTAATCAAACTTTAATTAAAATGAAAGTTTAAGGGAGAACTAATTAAAGTTTCTTACTGTAATTTCAGAAATACTTCGTTTCTACTCTGGTGCTGCATAAAGAGAATTCAGGAAGAATTTTAATCTTTTATGCTAATACATATGTATATGTATTCAGAGATTCTTTGATGGGTGAGCAACAGAGAAGGGGGGATGAGAAGGCAGATTTAGTAAGTGTGTGAGTAATTCCATTTTTGGTCAGTACTACATTGTGAAAAAGCCAGCATCTGATATTGTATCCGGTCACCTTTATCTATCTGTGAACTATGTTGGTAATCTTCAGAGCATAACTCATACAAAACATAGTAGATTGCGATTGTTCTCATCTTTAGTAAGGCGCTATGACCACAGAGACTATAGGCTCCAGTTTGCAATGAACCCTCTAGACATGTAATACACAGAGTCATGTGGCCTTGTTACAGGAGACAGTAGAACTATGTGGGCTGCATTTGGTTGTCATTTCACACTTTTACTATCAAGAGGCTGGATCTAGAAGCTGTAGGCAAAAATTAGAAACAATAATTTTAGTATTGGGAGTCTGGTGGGGAGGGTCTAAAAGTCCCTGTTGGTCAAGAGTTGCACTTAATTATGGTCTCCTTATTGATTTCTGTCAAGAAAGAGACCAGGATTAAGAGCAGTGTAGTAGAAATCAGGTACGTCTTAAAATCCAATATGATAGTATTCTAATAGGGGAATTTCCCAAGCCAACCCAACATGCCAGTAAAATGCAGTGTTTGGGACCAATACTAGAGAATACTGTATTTCTTTGAAGACAAAGCCAGGCAAGAGGTGGTAGCGACGTGGGTTGACTGCCCTCTTAGTCAAATAGAAAGTGTACTAAAATGTTGATGAAGAGCAGGTGAGAGAGACATACCGGGAATGAAGCAGAATCTCCAGAACAAAAAGTTAGATAATTCCATGCCAACACTTGGGCGCCTTAAGAACTCCATATTAGTTAAAAAGGTATAAAAATGTAGTAAATGCAGCAACTTACAACCATGATTGTGGTGCAATCGCAGTCCATTCCACGAGTTGCAGGCCAGGACAGGTCTTATAAAGCACCTGGACCTTATTCTCCCATCATTTAATCCACTGCAGATCAGCAGTATCTTCCTTGAAATCAACAGTTTTATGGAAGTGTCCTTGGAGAATCCACTCCCTTTCAGATTATACTAGTCACCATAGAACATCCTGGGACTGGAGGGTAACCAATGTCACTGTGTCCATTGGTTACCCTCCAATCGCTAAACCTCTGGGTTTAATAGGCTTTGTCTACACTACAAAGTTTTGTCATCAAAACCCACCTTTTGGTGACAAAATAGTAAGAGCGTACACTCTGCAATGGGGCTTTTGTATTGTGAAAGGTTAGCAAGTGGTTCCGCAGAATTTACTTGGGTCCAGTAGCTAAACCATTTCTTTAAGCCAAGCCCAGTACCCTATGCCATGTGTCCTAAGGTAGACTAAGAAGTGGATTGATTACAAGCAGCTGGTATTATTGAGCCTTTCCTGCTCCTTTTGTTCCAGGAGTGAAATCAGATACTGGAATAGGATCACCAAGGTCAACTGTGTGGCCAAGATAGCTATGTATCTGCTCCCTAGAATAGAAGACATATACATCACCTATCTGTGTGGAAAAACTTTCATAAAAATCAATTTAAATAGCATGTACCTCTAGGCAACAGCTCTAAATCCCATGTAATGATCAATACTCCTAAAGCGTTGTTTCATTATAACTATCTCCATTTCTAGTGTCAGCAGCACTGAGTATTTTTCAAAGGGCAATGGACAGGCAATTTATTTCAAGCCATGACATATCTGTGTATACCTTGATGATATCTTTATTCCAGGAGATATGAGTCAGAACACTTACAAAACTGGTACTGAAAAAATTGGCTGACACTGATACTTGTCTTCTTGTAAATGTATTTTTAGGCTACTGAAATCATTTACCTGGGTCACCAAGTTTCTGCAACTAGCTTATATTAAGTAGAGGAGAAAGTATGGGTTATTACTGAAGCAACATTGACAAAGTCTGTGTGTCTGCTGAAATCCTTTCTAAGCCTACTAAACTAATCTGGTGAATTTTTATCTAGCCTGGTATGGGTATTGACTCTATTATATAAACTGCTACAGAAAAGGATACAATTCCTCTGCAATCAAAAACAAAAAATCGCTTTTTCAGAAGCAAAGCAATTGTGAAAGTTATCAAATCTTTTAGTTCAGGATGATAGCCAGAAAATGGGAGCTAAGCACAAAGGTCACTATCAGAAAAAAAATTATTCTCAATTAGAACAAAAAGTTCTAGCCATGATTTTTGGGGAAAGGAAATTCCACACTTACCTATCTGTGAGGCAGTTTGTTACACATTCAGACAATAAACTGCTGAAAGGTCTGTTTGGTGAGAGCACAACTTGTACCTCCTATGTCAGAATTAATTCAAATATGGCTCTCTTCTTAGGAACGCACAACTACGAGTTTGATTATAAACCTGGAAAAGCATTGGATAATGTAAATGCTCTGTGTAGACTTCATTTTCTGGATACTTCACCCAAAGCATCCCTGCCTACAGAAACCATCTTCCTTATTGAACTACTGTCCACTTCTCTGATGAATGCAGTATAGCTAAAAAGAGAGAGACCTATTATGGTCTTGAGTGCAGAGAACAGTTACAAACGGCTGGACAATCTCATTATTTCCAGAAAGAATCTTTTTGTCCAGGATGAGTGCTTGTTATTAGGGTCCTGCATGATTGTACCGCTAGGATGTAGACTCCTGGTGCTAAAATCACTACATGAAGGGCACCCTGGCATTTTACCCATGAAGAGGCTTGTGCACAGTTATATGTGGGGACTGGGAAAGCATCAGGATATCGAATGGGTAGTTTGTCACACTAGCTTCCATTCTCCACTGATAGTTCCTTTGTATCCATGGGCGGGGTCTCAGTGACGCTAGATGAGGATTCATGTAGATTCTGTTCTTCCATTGATGGAAAAAGTTTGTTTTGAATAATCACTGATGCTCATTAAAAATGAAGTGAGGCATGTGAAATGCCCTTTCTACACCTGAGGATACAGATGGTACTCTTGGACTTACCTTTTCCAGTTTTGATGTGCCTGAGACAGTGGTAAGTAACCACAGTCCCCAGTTCACTGGTGCTGTGTTTTAGGAACTTTGAAAAAATCAGTATCAAACACATTAGAACTGTATCAAGCCATCTTTCTCCAAATGGTCCAGTGGAATGAGCTGCGCTAAACAGAAAAGAGGAGATGAAGAAGATGGCATATGGTAGCACAAAAGCCAAGTTGGCCAAGGTTCCTTGCCAGTATCACATGACACCATGAGCCACAACAGGCAAACCCACCTGCAGAACTCTCAATGGGAAGGAAACAAAAAACTCATTGGGACTTGCTATATATCAGAGAAGCTGCTCTAGTGAAGGAAGGGCAGGCAGCACAAAAGTTATATTATGATGTAAAAGCATCAACAAGAACATGCAGTGTATGTAACATGCCTATTGTTCTTAATTTTTGTAGTGGCCCTTGCTGATTAGCAGGTTGCATCATAGCACATGTGGGATCACTTTTTTCACTCACTCAGTTACCAGTTGTAAGGCCAATTCGTAGGTATTACAAACAGATTCATGTGCAGTACAGGTAGAGGTTTCTTATTCATGTGCTGAGCTACAAAAGTTTATGGAGTCATTAAACTATCTAGCTGCTACAACCAGCAATAATGAGATTGGTGAGGATTCCATACTAACGGCTATACTGGACTAGGAAGTTAAGCCTGCAGAGATGATTGTGTTAGCAGATAACCCTTGTGCACCTGCTATGGATGCAGGACATAAGTCTGTTCACTACACCATTCCAGAAGAGCTCCCAAACCTAGAGACAGGCTAAACTAGTAGTAGTAAAGCAGAATAATCCCATGTAATTGTTTGAGGACTAGGATACTCTGTCTCAGCTACTTACATAGGATGTTGTGTTGTTAAAATGTAAGTTTATTAATCTAAAGGGGGGTGTACTATTGAAGGGATTTTTGTTATGCTTATAGCCACCTGGTGGCAAGTGGGAGAATAGCTATTAAATGTTAGATGCACTAAGACTGTACTGAGCATGGGAGGGGAGGAGGCAATGGATGTGTGAGAAAAATGTATCAAGTTAGAGAAGGGGTGTGCAATACTTTTTGATGGGGGGGAGACATGCCAAGAATTTTGTAGGTGGTCAAGGGCTTCACATTTCTATGATATTCAGTGAGGCTGACAGACTTGCTGGGGCCCTAGGCAAGGGGGAGGGCATCTCTATGCCCCTTAAAGGGCTGGGGCCTTGGGCAGACGGGATTGGGACTAGCAGCCCTCAGTGCTGCCCGGGGCATGCCATTCAGAGCGCCAGGGGCAATTTAAAGGGCCCAGGGCTCCCGCCACCACTGCTGCTGCAATTGCCCCTGTCAATGAGCCTGATACTAATGGTGGGGTCTGGGTCAGCGGTTGTGTGTAGAAAGGAGCTTACGCTAGTGGACTGAGGTTTGGGAAAGGGGGCGGGATCTGGGAGGGGGTTTGAGTGAAGGAGGGTGTTGGGACCTGGGGCCGAGTATTGTGGGTACAGGAAGTTGCATGGGGGTCTGGGAGGAAGTTGTGACGGGGTGCAGGAGGTGAGTGCAGAGGCTTTAGGTTGTGACCTGGGGCAGAAGGGGGTTGTGACTATTGTGTGTCTGCATGGCGTGTGCCATGGGGAGGCGGGAGACTTCTGCACCCTCTCCTGTCCATGCCCCAGCATAATCCTTGCAGCTCTCATTAGCCAGAAACTGGCCAGTGGGAGCTGCGTGGGCTGTGCGTGCAGGCATAGGCAGCTTGCAAAGCCTCCATCCCCATTGCACCTGCTGTGCAACGACACACCTGCCCGCACTAGCAGCTAGCTGCTTAGAGTGCTGTGTGAGGCTGTAGCAGGCAGAGCGCCTGCCCGAGGGTCCCATTGGGCTGTAGGACATTGGTAGCCCAGAGGATTTTGGGGGGCTGGATCTGAATGTTTGCATGGCCATATCTGCCCCACAGGCCATATTTTGCCCGCAGCTGAGTGAGAAGCTAATTAATTGTCCATGTGACTCTCTTATCAAAATCTCTTTTTACTTCTATTCTATTTTGGGGGTCTAAGCACTGCAGGAAAATGGCCAGTCTGTGGCTGGGTCTGAAATAATTAACCAGTATTAAGATTGTTTGTTGGAATAGCACCACAACTGATTCTAGGGTAACATAAGCTATGACACATGCCTAGTGTATAGATTGAGATGTTACATGTTTGGCTTAGAACAGGGTAACTTGAGTATTTCAGGGCATATTTAGAGGCGGTGCAGTTATTCATGTTGCAGGCATACGGCTTTCTGACTGTGTTAAAGTCATTCAGACTGGATTTGAGTTTGGCATGACTATGAAGGCCTTGGCTACTTTCAGTCTCAATCTTTAGCAAATTAAATAAGCCATGGATGCTGGCTCAGAAGCTAGTCCAGGGTTATTGTCAGTTTGGAGAAAGAACTAAACTTTCTACCAAACTCCAATGCTGTTGCTGTACCATTCCTCCTGGTTCACGACTAACCTGTCTTCTGTCGTAGGAGTTGCTGCCAGCCCACGTGGTCTCCTTCACATTCCTATAAAATGGGGGGAAAGACCAGATCTTGGACTAGATGCCAGATGATTAGATTTAAAACACAAAACAAAACTTTTGAAATTGATGAGGGCAGGTGAATGACTGATAGGATAAATTTTACTCATCTTCCTCCCTGGCACTGATCTACTGCTGGATTGGCAGGATCTCCATCTTTGTTTTTAGATTCTGTCTGTAAAAGTGGTGTCTTGTAAGAAAAAGTGGTACCCTTTCCTGCTCTTGATGCTTGACCTTTGAAATGGAGCAAATGTGACTTCAAGAAAGGATTTCATGGGCTAACATCCTTGAAGACTATTTTCATCTTCATTGGGTCTGAAAGCGTTTGAGATAACTGCATGGCTTTAAAGCTAGAGCTGGGGGCCTGACTTTGATTAGGGATTTGTATTAGAAGCAGCACTTCACTCTCAGTTGGATGTGTTTGAGGTCTAAGATGTGAAATTTGGATCTGGACCCAAATATCCCCAAAGTATATTAGTTTCAAATACAATGGTTGACACATCTCTGTTTCAAAATAATGTAATTATCTCTTTTGTTGGTATTTGTAGCCTCTGTTTGCCAGAAGCAAGGAATGGGGGAACAAGGGATGGATCATTTGATGATGACCTGTTCTATTCATTCCCTCTGGAACACCTGACACTGGCCGCTGTCAGAAGACAGGATACTGGGCTAGATGGACCTTTGATCTGATCCAATACAGATGTTCTTATGTTCTTGATTAGTATGGAAACATTAAAAGATAGTTCCCTCGGGGAGTAGACAGGTTTAGAGTCATTTTAGACCAACGCTGATCACCCCTTTGAGTTTACAGTGTGAGAATTGTATTTAAACTAACCTCTGCAGGTTTCTGTTAAGCAAACTGATGAAGGAACAAGATGTCTGTTTTACTTCAATATATGTCAATTAAATGCTTAAATATTAAGCATATTTTGCTATTGAGATAGATGTTTGTGCATTTGTGATGGGAGAGAATGAAATGTAAATAATAATATATACCGAGATTTGCATATATGAGACTGATCTATTATAAATATGGATATTAATGAGGGCATGCATTTGGTATACAAGAGCTATTGTACTGAATTTGTCTCACACTTGAAATATTTTCCTGAAAAATAGAACATTCTGATGTGGCTATCTATACGCTTTTGTGCAACAAGGTCAGATTTTAATGAATGTTTTATTTCCTACCTAATGGTATTACGCAAATAAACAAATATACATATTTTTGTACAGACATATAAGCTATTCCCCAATGATTGCTGCACGAGTGTCTTGAAATACATGTTGCTTATGCAGTCTATAATGCAATGGGAATGTTGATTCAGAGTCTTGATGTTATTTGTTACAATGAGGTACTGTATAGTATAAAATGCAGTCTATGGTTCCAGTAGCTAAACTGCAACTTTCCTGTTTTCTAATGTACAGACTATTCTGTTTGTATTCAAAGGTGAGATATAACACATTGAATTTTATTTCATGCCCTTTTTATTTATTTCTTCTATCTTAATTGAACAGCCTGAGATTTTATATTTTTGACACAGTTTTAGAAGTGACACTAATACTTGTAGATATTTTCAGGTAAAGCAGCTCAATTTTTTAAGGCTTAGCTATGCTGTGGTGGACCATAGTAGTGAGTGAGAGGGGTTTTTCTTAAATTATTTGAAGCGAAACCCCACAATGGAAGCTTTGTGCATTTCAGGAGGCATCATGTGTGATGGCATTGTCCAGCCTGCTGAGGCCTTAGACTGGCAAAGCATTAAACATGTGCTTGAATATAAGCATGCAAGCAATCCATTGATTTACCTAGTTTAAGTATCCTGATTTGTTTTTGATTTTTTTTGTATTGAAAGGCTTGTGTTATTTTCCTTCCCCTCTCCAACCTGTGTCCAATAAATAAAATCTGCCCTATGTGAAACCAGTGACAAATGTATTTTATCTAAGCTTTCCAACTCTGATTAAACTATCCATAAAGCAGACAATGATTCAGATCACATTCTTGTGCCACAGTTTATTTGCTTCATGGGTGAGTTTGCTTCATGTTCCCTCCCCTCCCCCCCCAAGCACTGCAACTGGTACTCCTTGGGGAACTTTGTGCCAAAAACCATTCTGTGCATGATGTTTTAATGTTATGCACTTGTTACTTGTCACAATAACACAGTGTATAATCATGAGAGTTTCAGTTATTCTGGTATTTCACAATACCTGTCCTCAAGTCTGTCTGCAACAGAGACACAACAAAAAAAAGATTCAGAAAATGTTTTAGGACAAATAGATTTATTTCTAGGCACATTTATACTGAATTTTACATAATTCATTTTAACTACAACACAAACTTATTTCCTACACCCCTCAGAAGCAGTGAACAGGCTTGAGAGAGTCAGGGTATCTCATCCATAGGATGGCAGTCCCAGGGGTGGTGGCTGCACCGATCATCCTGCAGCTGGGATGGTCTCCCATATTGATATTAGCCCAGGGAATTATCTGGGGGGGCCTGGCGCAGGGGGCAGAGTTACTTTGCAAGTAGAATGTAGCCATGTGGGGCCAGGGTGCTCCACTTCCTGTTGCCAGGGTGCAGCAGAGCAACCCAGTTACGAGATAGGTGGGATAACAGAGCAGGGGGCTAGGTTGCTCCACTTGCTGCAGCTCTTACCCCCTTAGTGCATGCAGGAGGTCAGGCCCCCCAGTTGTCCCCTGGACAGTATCTCTTGGGGGAAGGGGCGCAATGGGGACAGGAGAAGGTTGAGATGGGGTGGGGGCAGAGGGAACTGGCCTGATGGAGGAGCAGAGGGACTGGAAGGAGCCTGGGAGTGAATCGGTTTGTTTTTTGGAGGTGTAGGGACGGAGTTTTTTAGGGAGTTGGGTAGCCTCCTCAATGCAGGTTGCAGCTAATCCTAGCCTTTCCCAATCAGTCAGGTACATCTACTGCTGCCCCCATGTGTCCCTTCCCCCCGGCCCCCCCCAACCACTGGCCTGATGGAGGAGCAGAGGGACTGGAAGGAGCCTGGGAGTGAATCGGTTTGTTTTTTGGAGGTGTAGGGACGGAGTTTTTTAGGGAGTTGGGTAGCCTCCTCAATGCAGGTTGCAGCTAATCCTAGCCTTTCCCAATCAGTCAGGTACATCTACTGCTGCCCCCATGTGTCCCTTCCCCCCGGCCCCCCCCAACCAC